GCCTTCCAACATGTTGGTAGCAGATAATTTTGTACTTCCTCCATTATAAATTATGATTCGTTATGTCTTTTCTATATACATAGCTTTTACTATGTATCTCGATCTAGACATAATGTATATCTAGATGTGGAATAGCAAAACTATGTATCTAAAAAAGTCAGAACAAGACTTACAATTTAGAATAGAGAGAGTAGAGAACTACAGTACCTTACATCTGCTGCTTGATAGATGAAACCACGGATGAAGTCTATTTCTTGCATGAAAGCTGCACATCCACTACTTATTTTTGCGGGGAAAGAAGTGTCTTCCGTTCACCCCAACGTATGTACAAAAGTAAATCAACTGTGATCAAACCTAGCGAAACGCATGTGATGCCTTTGGAGTTTGGACACTGCAGAAGCAAAGTGCGTAATAGCAGATCTATACGTAGCTGTTGTTGACACCTAATGAAGGTACGTCAGCGGTGACTTTGGGTCCTACTCATCTAAAGTCAGAAGAGGGGTAGTGATACTATTGCTAATTGGAGCCTTCACAATATGTTAATTTTCATTAGAGGTACTATAAAAGAAGGATAAATTCCAGCTAGAAATTAAATTCTCACAAAAGTTAGAACAATTTAGTCATCAATTTAATTAGTATACTCTAATTATCTTTGGCAATAATATATATATTTGGATCTATTCTGTTTCTGAGAAGCTATGAACCTATGAGAACGATCTAAAGTACCCCTCTATATTTGTATTTAAACTAGCAAACTGCAAACATACTTGTGTAGTGCGACGGAAGGTACAACTTGTACATGGTCACCTGCAACAACTTGTGACTTGAGATTTATGCAACCATAGCATTAACTGTTCCAATATGTCTAAGGATCAGACTCCTATCGTGGGTAGACGACGTGCACTTTCTAACTCATATGAGCATAGGTCATTAGTCCGGGTCATGGATAGAAAAGAGAGGTGCACAGGGCATGAGAAGTAAAATATGATGGATAAAAGGGTCTACTTTGACTTTAATATTAGAGAAAAATTACCAACCACTACATTATAAAAAAACTAATAAAGTAACACACCATATATTTGTATACAAATTACCTACCCCTACTATTCTAAAATATAAACCTATATAAACCCCTAATCTTAATCAAAAGTACCCACTTATGTCATTATGAAAAACTATACCATTAGGAAAATAAACCTAAAGTAATCTAAAATTTATACCTAAATTACACACTTCTACTAGAAAAAGTAACATAAATTAACCCTAAATTTGGATCCAAATTAAATGACCTCCATATGCCATTATAAATAAGAAAATATCCAAACAAAGTACTCCAATATAATATATGCTTATAAGCAATCCACTTATATCATTGTTAATATATGTAAAACTAACTCATGGTATACATGCACGATGCATGAAGAACATGTAAAGCTTAAGCCTCCGGAGGTCATAGCCCATGCAGGAGCACATGTTGATAGACTTTTTGTACGGAATTGAGGTACGGGTGAATGAATAATAAAAAAGCAAAGAAAGCAAGCAACAAGAAGGAACAAAGCAATTGAGAGCCAGAAACAATACGTAAGACCCCTCGAAATAAACCTACTAACAATGCCAGAAACAATACGTAAGACCCCTCGAAATAAACCTACTAACAACAAGTCAATGGTGAAAATGTCAGCTTAATTACCATGCGTATCCCTTCTTTGATACGTAACCCATGATGAATAATAAATATATATAGTTAGTTATTAATACTTAACACTGGATATATAAGCAGACACGAAATAAATGAGCTTTAATTTTGTCGGCCGCCCATCGTGATGTCCCAGTCATTCCGTCGTAAGTAATATATACTCCCTCTCCATGTAAAAAATGAAGTCATTTTAGAAAAGGTTTGGGTTAAACATTGGGAATATAAATCATGAATAACTTTTAAGTTGTTGAGTTTGGAAAATGTGAAAACCATTGCCCTGTTCGCTTGGCTGATAAGTCATGGCTGAAAGTACTGTTGGCTGATTTGTTGTGAGAGAAAAATACTGTTTATTGGTCGAAAAAGTACGGCTTATAAGCCAAGCGAATAAGGCGCATATGTATAGATTTGTCTTGAAAAATACTTTCACAAAAATTTACATATATCACTTTTTGATAAATATCTTTATAAAAATAAGTAGTCAAAGTTATGCTATGGAGACCATGTCGTTGTCCAAAATAACTTTATTTTTTTTTTAGTATGAAGCGAGTATAAACTTGCGGCGCCATACCCCCATAGATAAGATAGGGCGATAATATGCGTCGTTTAAAATCCGGGCTTTGATTTGGCGTCGCGTGGGAGGCCGGGGATCGGAGTGCATGCATGCATTCATGCCGAGTCAAATTTCGCAACTTGTTGCGCGCCATGCATGCGAAGTAAACGATGATGGCAGCAGCACAAGCAAAGTCAGTAGCAAAACCAACGGTAGACCTAAAAACGGCAAAGTTATTAGGGAATCACATGGGGGAACGGACTTAGCAGCCACCACCACACGTACACTCTGCTCTGCCTATAAAAGGCAGCACCGATCTCGGATGGTTGGTAAGCTACCATGAACACACAGGACTTGTGCATGTAGCTAGACTAGATAGCGGAGTGGTACAGATCGAGCAACCTACCAGTAGCGCTATATATAGTAAGGAAGAAGAGTCCAATTAACCTCGATGGTTCTCACTGCCGAGAGGGGTAGAGATGGCGACCGGCCGCCGGAGGTCGTCGTCGTCGACATCAAGAGCGGCAGCCTGGATGGAGCGTCGTCGTCGTCCATCGTGGATCGGCAGGACTCGCTGTTCCGGGAGGCGGTGACGGGTCATCACCACCGTGCTGCTGGCGGCGCAGGACACGCTGATCATGTACGTAATCTGCTTGACGTCCAAGTAACTCTCGAATATGAATGCAATGCAAATGCAACGGTGGTAGAGTTAGACACGTCGTGTTCAGTCAGTCCATGTTTTGCCCATCTGACTGACTATTGACCATGGATCGACCGTACGTATATGCATACGCGTGCATGCAGGATAGCTGGGGGACGACGCTGCGGCTGGCGTTCCAGTGCGTGGGGATCCTGTACGGCGACGTCGGCACGTCGCCGCTATATGTCTACTCCACCACCTTCGGCCACGGCGGCGGCGTTGGCCACCCTGACGACGTCCTGGGGGTGCTCTCCCTCATCATCTACAGCTTCATGCTCTTCACCGTCATCAAGATCGTCGTGGTTGCGCTCCACGCCAACGATGACGGGGATGGTTAGTGCCTGCATGCCATGCCATACAATTTAATTTGATAAAAAATATTATATATGATAGTAAATAATGTAATTAACTAACGATTGATATCAGGTGGAACGTTTGCACTCTACTCTTTGATTTCGAGATATGCCAACGTGAGTCTGCTCCCTAACCATCAGGCCGAAGATGAGCTGGTCTCCAGCTACAACAGTCATGAAAAGCCGTCGTCGGCCACACTGAGGAGAGCTCACTGGCTGAAGCATTTGCTTGAGACAAGCAAGTCGGCCAAGATTTCCCTGTTCCTCCTTACCATCCTTGCAATTGCGATGGTCATCAGCGACGCTGTTCTAACTCCTCCTATTTCGGGTACTGTATAAAGAAACTCATCTATATTCTACAGATAATATCACCTCAACATCTGTAGAGGTTTTAACAATGTCATCTGATTCTTGCTGCTTGTCCTCACAAAATACTCAGTGCTCTCAGCTGTAAGTGGCCTGAAGGAAAAGGTGCCTGATTTGACCACAGGTAATTAATTAACAACAAAAACATGCATCAGGACCTGTAGAGATTTTTTTTTTCAAAGACAGGTGTAGAAATCATGCTATCTTTCCTGATATATATGATCCCTGAAAATCTTAACTTAATCTTAGTTAGAACTTAGAAGACATTAACTTTAGCAAATAGTTAGAGAAGGATTGACGCGGTCAATAAGCTACAACATCAGCTAATGCAAAGCTTGTTTTAATTTTCGCACAGATCAAATAGTATGGATCACCGTGGCAATTTTGGTAGTTCTGTTTGCTATCCAACGATTCGGAACTGACAAAGTTGGCTACTCGTTCGCACCAATCATCCTGCTGTGGTTGCTTCTGATTGGAGGAGTTGGGCTCTATAACCTGATCAAATATGATGTTGGTGTATTGAGGTCGTTCAACCCAAAATACATCATTGACTATTTCAGGAGAAACAAGAAAGAAGGATGGATCTCACTTGGTGACATCCTCCTTGTTTTTACAGGTTATATTTTGCAAATCTAGTTAGCCATGCTTAGGGCCTGTTCGTTTGAGTTTAGAACAAAGAGGGTTGGAGGGGATTGAGTGGGATTAAATCCCCTACAAGTCAAAGTCCCTCTCCATCCAGGCCCTTCGATCCCCTTCAATCCTTTGATTTTGGGATCAAACGAACAAAGCCTAGGGAAGAACTTATCTTTGATGTAACTAAGAAAATATATGATTTACATATACTAACATATATTGTACCATGCATGCATGTACTCTCCACAGGAACAGAAGCTCTTTTTGCTAATCTGGGATACTTCAGCATTAGATCCATTCAGGTACGTGCAAACATGGTTTGATGCAGATATATAGTGACATGATAATACTAGGTTCATATTGGTTAATGAAATGATATAAAAAAACATATACCAAAACTTTGATTCAAAAATAAGAATGTTCTAAAAGAAGTATATATAGGCGCATTGTCGTCATACTAAACAACTTTTCTTTCGGAACTTTTCAGTTAAGCTTTAGCCTTGGATTACTGCCATCTGTATTGCTTACTTACATCGGACAAGCAGCATACCTAAGGAAGCACCCCGAACATTTTGCTGACACTTTCTTTAGATCAACCCCAAGTAAGAATATACTCCTATAATATATTTATTTCGTACATACATCTCTCCATATAAATAACTGTTCTGAAACTTGATGTGCTTCTCGTTCTTGAAAATTCAGGCGCTCTGTTCTGGCCGACATTTATCTTGGCAATTGCGGCATCAATCATAGGAAGCCAAGCAATGATCTCATGTGCCTTTGCAACTGTTTCACATTTACAAACACTCAGTTGCTTCCCGAGGGTTAGGATACTGCACACATCAAAGAGGTTTCATGGACAGCTGTATGTTCCTGAAGTTAACTTACTGCTTTGTATAGCTGCTTGCGTGGTGACTGTCAGTTTCAAGACAACCACCATTATCGGAAAAGCCCATGGTATGAACTGTGTGTGTTTAACGTCACATATCGCACTGTCCTCTATAACAAAAAAAAGCTAAATTTTACAAACCTCTCTAACCATCATGTTTCTTCATAACTGACAGAAATCTGTGTCATCCTTGTGATGCTCATCACGACACTGCTGATGACAATCGTGATGCTCTTGGTGTGGAAAATCAATATCTTGTGGATTGCGCTCTTCTTCATCGTCTTCGTTCCAACCGAGTCCATCTACCTATCATCCGTGCTATACAAGTTCACTCATGGACCATACGTGCCCGTGGTCATGTCGGCAGTCTTGATGGTGGTGATGATCGTTTGGCATTACGTGCACGTCAAACGGTACAAATACGAGCTGAAGCACACCTTATCCCCTGCTAAGGCTGAGAAACTGCTTGAGAAGCATGATCTGATGAGGATCCCTGGAGTTGGGCTCTTCTACACTGAGCTAGTGCAAGGCATCCCACCCATATTCCCTCACCTCATCGAGAAGGTCCCAGCCATTCACTCGGTCCTGATCTTAGTCTCCATCAAGCATTTGCATGTTCCCCATGTCGACGCTGCCGAGCGCTTCCTCTTCCGACAAGTAGAGCCCAAGGAGTATAAAGTATTTCGATGCGTGGCGCGGTATGGGTACCGGGACTCCATTGGTGAGGAGGCTGAAGACTTTGTCGTTTCTCTGGTTGAGAGTCTCCAGTACTACATACGAGATGTCAACCTGTACTCAGTGGATGAGATGCAGAATGTTAGCTATCCAATTTCTCGCGATCAGAGCTTGTCTCGGGACAAGCCATCTGGAAGGCATGCCATCTATGCTGAGGAGATGATTACGCCGATCCAATCCTTCTCCGAGCTCACAACACTGTCAAATGGTTTGAGCAATCGTCTACCACAGTTTCAGGTGACAAATCTACTAAATAATTGAGCTAAGTAACTGTGTTCTATTATTTATTGTAGTATAGTAAAATTGATGATGGTTGTTAATGAGCAGGCATCAAAGATGAATATCGAGGAGTTAGCCAAGATTGAGGAGGAACAGAAGGTGATTCAAAGAGAAGCAGAGAAAGGTGTGGTGTACATTCTTGGAGAGGCTGAGGTGGTGGCATTGCCTCAGTCCTCGCTCCTTAAGAAGATTGTGGTCAACTACATATACTCCTTCCTGAGGAAGAACTTCATGCAAGGAGAGAAGATGTTATCGATTCCACATGGCAAGCTACTGAAAGTTGGAATCTCATATGAAATCTAGAGATTGCGTAATGACTTTTCAGATAGATCGATGGTTTCTTATACATATCGATCGGTGGCCCGGCCACTAGTAAGTACTTGTCAAAGTGCCGGGGAAAGAAGCAAGCACATGCACAACAGCAGGGATCTGGGTATACTTCTGCATGGATGATGTGTAAGGTAGTTACACAATCATGTAACCTGTAGAATAGTTAACAACATGATGCTATGATGCTGCACATGGACCAATTTGGTCCACGTGTTGCTAGCATTCGTGTCTTTGTATGCCTCATATATATATGTTTATGAATACTTCGCGTGTATATTTGTTTGTGCCATTCTTCCGTTTGTACCATGCAAATTTTATGAAGAAACAAAATTGGGTAATACTCCGTCGTCCCAAAATACTCGATGTTTTAGGAGTTTTGGGACATACTAGTAGTGATGGAAATTAAAAGGACAATGTACGCTAATTAAAAGGAATACGTGAAGCCATGCATACCTTAGTATTCAGGTTGATAATATAGACCTAACCTAGTATTCATGAGCTAAAACGTCAAGTTTTTGAATTTTTTTTGTATCGTAGAACATCAAATTTTCTGAGGCGAAAGCAGTAGTAATAAAATTCATACAGAGGAAGGATATGTGGAGAGCTAGCTCTAGCTGATGCCTTCCATTCTTCCTTGTGGGCCACCGAATAAGCCCCACTGCTTCGGTGTGTGTATGGTGCTTGCTATTGGGCTTTAGCTGTAATGTTATTTGGTTCATGCATGAGCTGTGTTTGGCCTGTCTTTTTCCCACTTAAGGCCTTAATTGGATACCCATGTATCCACCTTAATCCATAGAGTACGTGTTGAAGTGGCTTGCTGTGGAACTTAAACTAAATTCCACACCAAATCACTCAAACACATATGGATTGAGGTGGATACACGAGCATCCAAACAAAAGCCTAAGTGTTTATGACACTGTGTTGCTGCCTCTAGTATGGTAGTAGTCCCCGAAAGAGATAACCAAGCATTACTGTTACCGAAGAAAAATTCTTTTTGGCACCAGCCTTAGGTCCCCTCTCTTTTCCCCTCTACTAAGCCACTGGTAGGAAGGAGGAGCTAGATCTATCTCTTTACAATATCTACTAGATGTTGATCTTCTAGAGTTCATCTATTAGCCATCTTAGTCTGATGGTTTCCTCCATAGGGTGTGATTGTCTATGAGTTTCACTTTGATGGTTTGTTCCATAGTGTCGGTGTTTCGAACAAACACCGGCTAGTAAATTTGTAATTGTTGCGCGTTAGGCCCGGATGGTGCACTAAAGGACACGAGGTTTATACTGGTTCGGGCTGAACGTCCCTACGTCCAGTCTGCTGCTGCTCGTGTTATTAGTACCGAAAAAGGTTCATAGTAGGGGGTACAAACGGTCGAGAGAGGGACGGGTCCCAAGTCTCTGATGGAATGGTCGAAAAGGTCGCCGAGAGCTTGGTCGCTGCTCAGCTGTGTGTGAAGTGTCGTGTGTGTTGAACTTATCCGTCAAAAGTCGATCCCTTTAGTGGGGGGCTCTGCCCTCCCTTTTATAGACCAAGGGGGAGTAGGGGTTACAGATGGGAGAAAGAGGAAAATACCAAAGGTATCGAAGGTCCTTCGAGGGAGCCGGGTCTTCCTTTTTCCCTGTGCCTGCCCTGCTTAACATGGCAGACCGTGTCAGAGGTGGCGTGTCCGCTGATCTTCATAGGCCATGCCCTGGCCCCTTTTAGGAAGTGGGTGCATCCCATCCTATGCCGGTGGACGGTGCGGCGTGCCGGAGAGCCGAGCTGTGACCCCTCGGGGAGTTATGGGGGAAGTGACCATACGTCTGTCACTGTAGATGATGTGAGTTCTGTCTTGGACCGTAGTGGCTGTCGTATGCCTGTGTTAGTGTCCACGCCCGAGGGCTGAAGGCGGCGCCTACTACAATGTGGGACAAAAATCGGTGCCCACAACACTATTCGGGTACTGTTTTGATGGAAAGGGCTTAAAGCGCTCGTCCCATCGTATTCTGACAGCACCTTCCCGCAGGCACACAGGGCATGGCCCTCGATATCACGGTTGACTCGAATGTCCTGTCGTACCCTGTGCTTGTCTTCATGAAGGAGCAGGGTGCAATCGTCGGGCGAGGCGGAGTCTTGCCTTTAGCTGTCGGGCGAGGCGGAGCCTAGCCCTCGGTGGTCGAGTGAGGCAGGGTCTAGCCCTTCGCCGCCGGGCGAGGCGGAGCCTACCCTCGGATGTCGGGCGAGGCGGAGCCCCCCCTTAGCCATTGGGCGAGGCAGAGTCTAGCCTTTAGCCATCGGGCGAAGCGAAGCCCGCCCTCGGACGTCGGGCAAGGCGGAGCCTAGTCCTCGAGTGTCGGGCGAGACGGAGTCTAGCCCTCGGACGTTGGGCGAGGTGGAGCCCGCCCTCGGTGGTCGGGCGAGGTGGGGCCCGCCCTCGGACGTCGGGCGAGCGGAGCCCGCCCTTAGTCATCGAGCGAGACGGAGTCCAACCCTTGGTGGTCGGGCGAGGCGGAACCAGTCTTGCGTCGTTTGGGCAAGAAGCGCAGCAGTGCTCTTGTCTGATCGGAAGCGTCAACGTTCGATGGTCATTAGTTCCACCTCATTGGGTACCCCGGTATTAGGTCCCCGACAGTAGCCCCCGGGTGATTCGGACAGAATCACCTGGGGGTGTTTTGACCTGCTAGAGTTTAATTTGCCAGAGGGTGCGTGCGAGCGCACCCGACGGGTGTAGCCCTCGAGCCCCCGGGTGATTTGGGCCGAATCGCCCGGGGTGTATTTCTATTCGCTAGAGGATGCGCGCGAGCGCACCCGACGGGTGTAGCCCCCGAGCCCCCGGGTGATTTGGGCAGAATCGCCGGGGCGTATTTCAATTCGCTAGAGGGTGCGCGCGAGCGCACCCGTCGGGTGTAGCCCCCGAGCCCCCGGGTGATTCGAGCAGAATCGCTCGGGGGGTAATTTCGGACCCTTAGTGGGTAAGGCTGTGAGATTCGGTTTTTGACAACTGGATAGTTTTTTAGGGGAACCCTGGTATCCTGTTCGTGGGGATTTGATCCAGGGTCAGCCTGGCTGGGGCTCGACTGTGGGTCGAGGCCCTACTGACGCTCGTGTCCCTGAGCCTTGGTCGCTTGCGGGCCCATCCCTCGTTGGGATGGCCGTTGAGACTGTTGGGCCGGCCCTTGGACTTTCTGGGCCCTAGGTGGGCCGGAGAAAGGGCCCTTTGACCCATATTCCCTCGGTGGGAAAAGAGTCCTGGTCTACCTAGGGAAGGTGAACTGTCCGGCGTGATTTTGGTGAGAAAGGATAGGGATCGCGGGCGCGTATCCCGTGACGTGACGCGGCGGTGCGTCGTGGCAGGCTCAGAGATCAAGGCGGACGGTTGCCCTTCTCGCATCCATCGTCCCTATAAAACCACGGGGTTTGCCCCAAGGTTCCGTACCTCACCTCCTCGCATTCGCATCCATAGCCTCCGCCGCCAATCACCTGAGCCTCCGCACCTACATCACAGCCGCCATCAAGCTCGCATTCGCATCGTAGCCACCACCGAACCCGCAGCCACCTTCTTTCCCGACGTTTCAATGGAGCCATGGTGCAGATCCAACATCTCCCCTCCGCGCCTGGAGGGCCTCATTTGCCGTGGCCTCCTCCGCCCACTGACCACCGCCGAGGAGTGTCGATACTTTCGCGTCCAAAAACAGATTCGTGGATTTGTTTCGAAATTTCGTTTTGTTTGTTCGATCTTATCTTCTTCGC